TCCAACTCATTTCCAACAAAATAAAACTCAATACAAGAAACAATATAAATCCATTGACAATTAATCAACATTATTTTTCATACAATTAACTAATCTTCACCATCTTAAAACTTATCTAACATTATTACAATTAAATATCGTTGATTAATATACATTTAATCAATGATTAACCAGATTGTATATTCAAATTTCCACTTCTAATCAGAATAACCAGAATTGTGATAATATTTAATCAGATTAATTGTAGGTTGTTGTTATCATTATTATTACCTGATTATGATTATTATATTTTCATTTGCAAAGATTATTTGTAAAAAAACATGAATGAATAATTAACTAATTTTCATCCTCATCTTCACAATGATTATGTAGGAATGAGTTAAATCATTACTAATAATCAAGAATGATTAATTCATCATCTTGTCTGTTAATTATAAGGGGAGGAGACAAAAATAACAATCATTTACATTTGAATAGATTAATAATGAAGATCGTTTATGATTTATGTAATAATTAACGAAGTGGATAATTTAATCTTACTCTTAATTTTTGTAGATTAATTAACAATTTGAATCAGTTGATTAGGTTTCTTTTTCCTGGTTGATGATGATGAAAAAAAAAGTGTCACTGGTTTTGAGTTATTGGTGAAAATGATGACAGAAGGGGGAAAAATATGATATCAAGTGATGAGGATGAACATTTGATGATGATGAAGATGATTTCTCGTCAGTTATCATCCGGATGATGATAAAATCCTCTTGATATATAGATTTTCATGTATCACAATTAAGCCTTGAAGGTAAACTGAGAGAGAGAGAGAGAAAATGTCAACATGGTGAATCAAGTTTTCCCGTTTCAATGGATTCACAATCTTATCACCAAACTCTGAACAAAGTTCAGTATCACCATGAGCTCAGAATATTATTTATAATCAAGAATAAGTGACAACTTTTTTCTTCCAATTCTTTTTCAAACTTATTGTTCAAATTTCTCATGATAATCTATTCAAACAATTAATCTTGAGAATTGCCAGATAATTAGATTAAATTAATCCATTGATTTCGGTGTTAAACTGATGAAAATTTAAATTAGATTCAAATGATCAAAGTTAATCAACTTTAATCTTGAACATTAAATCAATGGAAAGGTTTTCTTATTCAGTTTAATTGTTAATGTCTTCAATTTGATTATTAGTTTAACTTTAGTTCGTTAGTTAATTAATTGTGATTACTTTGCATTTCGATTTGATCGAAATTTTTTTTCTCCTCTTTGTCTTCTTTCATTAATTAATTAATACAAAGATTCATTGTAAATCCTAATCGCTAATTGTTGTTAGTAATATTATTTTTTCTTGTTCCTCATTTTTTTCCCAATTTATGATGAAAGACAATTAACTTTAATCATCGTAATCAACGAGGACCCCTAAGGTTAACAATTTATTTAACCCAAGAGACTCAGGAAACAATGTTGGTTAATGTTAATCGATTAGGAGCTCGAGATGAAATGTTAATCAACAATTTACTTCGTAATTCAATTTTCTTGGGTAAACCTAAATTAAAGACAATCTTTCAACAATTACAACGAAACTATCACAATCAAAAGTAAGTAATTCGATTAATCAAACTAAATAATTAACATTCTCCCATTATATTGGTAACAATCAACCTTAATTTCTCATTATCTCTTATACTTTTCATTTGATTCCCTTCTAGTTATTGATTTAATTTTCTCCAAATATTTCCAATAATAACGATAATATTTTCCTCTCCACCGTCAGGGATAAACTTCCCACTCCCACTCTTAATCCACCCACACATTAATTGATTCATCTAAATGAACATTTCTTATTACCAATGTTACCTTTGATTTCATCTTAAATCCACTTCCTAATTACTTTCCCGCCTTCATTATCCCAATCCCACTCTAACTTAATCATCAACAATTTCAGGGTCAAATCTCATCTCTCTGAATGAATCAATTTTCATCATCCTAGCTAATAGGAAATGAATCATCAATAATATTAAACAATAAAGATTAAGATGATTAAATATCATCAGAATTAGGATTAGGATGGAAAACTAATAAAATCGTTGACAATTAACTAGAAATCATCATTGTGGTGATCAAGATGATTACAATTGCTCAAATCAAGAGGAATCATGACAATCAACTGATTCTCTCCATGTAAACATTAGATGATCTATTAATAGTTTTGTTGTATTTTCATGGGGAATTCATTATGAATGGAATGATGAAAATTCTGATGGAAAATTTTTCTTCTCTAATTGTCTTTCAATCAGTTTTATTAATTCAATTTCTTTTTCAATACTTACCTGGTTCAATTACCTTTAATTATCTCATTACAATCAACTAATTGTTACAATTTAATTGTTTTCTTTTTCTCCATCAGAGTTTCTGTATTCTGTTCTGGATCTTCAGGATTAAGGAAAGAAATTAAGAAAACATGTCGGACAATTAACTTAAATGGAAGTCGATTTGTCTTTAAACATGAAGATTTTGGATTCTAATTAACTAATTGTAACAATTGCCAGCGATTAGTTCAGATGATTATCTCATCTAATTCAATTGTAAATATCTATCATATTGATCACTTTTGACAATCAAAGGAATTGATTATATTTGATCAACACTCACAAATTGTTGATTAATTTGAAATAAAAGTTTTTTAAATCATCATCAAGATTCATGATTAGTTTTTATTATCAATTAAAATTAATTTGAACAATTTAATTGGTTGAAATTTGGATCAATTTTAAAACAATTAACTATTAGATTGATAACTTTTCTTTTATGTTACTAATTGAGATTCAGTTTCTTTGTACCTTATCAATTACGATTAGCAATTAATTAATTGTAATCTCATGTACAATCCTCTGAGTCGTTGAATCAACTCATCATGATACTTGTGATGACCCGAGGGTATAAAAGTTATTATCATGAAGGGTAAGTGGAGGTGGTGGAGGCACTTGAAATAAATTTGATCGTTGACCATGAATTGAACATTTACCCACCGGTGGGGTGGAAGTTGAAACAATTATATTACCAAGTGATGATGCCGATAGTGGTTTGGTTAATTGTTGTTGTTGATTATGGTGTTTATTTGAATGATGTCGAGGAGTCCGCAGTGAGCCAGTATGATGATTCACTGAAGGAACCGAAGACGATGCTAGTAAGAGAGGTAAAGTGGCCTCATCTTCGGGTGTTAACATAGTCGTTGATCGATGATGATGATGATGATGATGATGTTTCTTTAATTGATTAATAGCCTGTTGGTATTGATTCTGATTTTGTGATCGACGATAAAAAGTATCCAAAGGTAATAATAACTCAGAAGGTGGAGATGAAGGTGTATCATGATTTTCCCCACCGCCGCTGCCGTTGGCCACAAGTACATAGGATGATGATTGTGGACTATGATTTAAATGTTTAACACTAATCGAACCATCGGATGTTGTTTTCACCGTGAATGCCGATGACCCAGACCCGTGAAGGCCACTTTGAGACACTGACGATCGATGGTCATCAAGATTTGACCGACGACGACGACGACGACGACAATGACATAGGAAACAAATCAATCCACAGGAAACACTAATCAGTCCCAGAATTGTAACAATTGTGTATAAACGGTTGGAAACGTTACCTTTTTTTATAAGAGAGATTTAAAACAAATTAACTGTGGTGTAACAATTAACTAATTGTTTGAACTTACATTGGTCTTCATCGGATGAATCTTGTTCACTACAATTGGGAATCCCATCACATTTCAATGATTTATCAATACAAAAGTATTCCTTACGTTTACAGGTTGACCCACTCTGAGGTGTTAAGCAAAATTCAGATTTGGAACATAGGAAATGTTGACAATCAGCTTAATTGTTGTAATCCATCAGGATAATTAAGAAGGAGAAAAGACAAAAAAAAGAGAGAAATGACAAAATGATTTATCTTGAAGAGATTTTTAATTGATTAATTTTCTTGTTGTTATTGTTAAATATTGATCTTTGATTGTTAATTTAAGTAACAATATTCATGGACAATTAACCTTTTGAAATGATTAAATATTGACATGAATTAGTGATCCTTGAAATAATCACAATCTATTATTAGTTACAATTTATTTTTCCTGTTGATTGGTCTGAATTTTGATGATCATCAACAGATAATCAGTAAATTGTTACAACTTTTTCATCATCATTTTTAACGGAAACAAAGGTGAATTCAAGTAAATTAAAATAATCATCAACTTGTATTATAATGATAATCACATTGATTATGTTAATAGTAATGATTTAGGGTTGGTTAACCATAACGATATGATATCGATCCTTTGATTATCATTTTTGTATCAACAACAATTTAATCAAAATCGTCATCATCATTATTAATACAACAACAATTAAAATCTATGTGATTGTATGTGATGATAATCATGTAAACCAATTGATTGTCATCAAAATTTACCATTTAATTGATATACAATCAAACAGAACAAAAAAACAAACCAAGAGAATTTTTTTCCTAATCAATCACCTATTGACCTTTTGCTTAAACATGTTAATTGCTACGAAGGAATCAAGAAGTAATCAGTTAATTATTGTAATATAATAATAATCATAGAAGGTATAAAAAAAAATGTGAAGACACAAAGAAAAAACAAAAAGACAGACTCTGAAAGTCTACTGGTCATCATACTGGTCATCATCATCTTCATTCCTGGTGCTTAATGGTCACCAAGGAAATGATATTATTCACGCTATCAATATTATTATTATCATTTATTATATCATGAGCCCAGGGTGGGAGGTGAGGGGTGGAGAGTGGACATTACAAAAAATGATATATGTTTAACTGGACACACACAATAAAGTATCAAAGGCAAGGTCAACCTTTTACTTTTCGATATTTTTGTTCAACTGTTTCCCCTTCAGATTTTCAACTCCTGATTTTACCTTGTCCAGTTTTACCCACTGCCACTCATCATAATCATCATCCTGGTCATCATCTTGATTCTCTCCCTCCATCTCTCTCTCTCTCTCTCTCTCTCTCCCTCTCTCTGACCATTTCTCCCAAAGGAAGACAATGAAGATCCAGAATAGTTTCAACTCATGTGTCCAGTTGAGTGAAACCGAGCGAATAGAAATAAAAAAAAGTTCTAACTCAATGTTCAAAGATAATTGTTTAGCAATAGTGGTCATAAGTTGTGTCCAATCACAGTATCATCATTATCACCCCACCCATCACCCACCCTCTTCTTAACCTACACACACACATAATACACTTCTACTTGTATTTTTGTCCATTGTTATTATTATTATTGGATGATTATCAGTGGTCAGTGGTCAGTGATATGACAAAAACAAAAATAAAAGTTGACCATTTCAACCATAGACTTGGATATTTGTATATTATTTTCATTATTGTTTGTTGTTATTGTTGTTGTTGTTGTCATTGTTGAAGGTGGTGGTGGTGGTGGGTGAGATGATGATGATGATGATGATGATGACGATGAGTGGACAATATGAATTATGTTGAATATTAAAATGAAATAAATTGTCCGTAAGTTAATTGTTTGGGTTGACTTATCAATAGGAACAGGAACCAAAAAAAAAAAGTTATTCAGTAAACATTATTTTCCACCTCCCACCCTGTGTATGGGATTACCTATTTTTCACCCACTTCTCATTTTAATCATCAACAATCAACAACAATCATCAGATTAAACTTCACATTAAATCACAATTCTTTCAACAATCAAATCTTCACCAATCAAAAAACTGTTTCTCTTTCCAATCTTAATCATAACATTAAATCATCTCGTGAAATCAAATCCAATCAAATTAATATCACCAGACAATTTATTAATCGTCATAATCAGTGTTAATTGTGGTTTTTTAATTGTTTTAATCATCAACTGGGATCTCAAGTCTTGATTTTGTTTTTTTTTAGACTTTGTGTTTGTGTTTAATGTGTTAACCTTTCAGCTTCTTAATTGTTTAATCATTAAGAAAATTTAAAATGAGATTAATCAATTTTCATTGTATTCATTATTATCAATTACTTATTATCGTTCTGATTGTAACAATAATCTCATTTCAATTGATTAATTGTAATCAAACTGATTCATCTTTAACATTGTTTTCCTCATTTTCTCATCATAATCAAACTCTAATGGTTAATCAATCATGTAATCAAAGTGATACAAACATGAAAACAATTACGAGAAGCAATTTAACAGTTAATCAAGATTCAAATATTGATAATTCAAACAATTTAACCGGAAAACAATCAACTACCACCAGGAATAACAGCAGCCAAAGTGATTTAAATATTAATTATAACAATTACTCTAATTCCAGAGTTGAGAACCAAAGTAAACAATCAGAATCAACTACAGTTACTAAAGATCAACAATCAACCCGGACAATTAAATCAGAAAAGTTAATCATCCGTTTGAAACGAGCTCGAGGAAGGAAACAAAATTTTGGTTCAGATGAAAGGGCTAAAGCTCAAAATGCTGGTAAATCATCAGCACAATCAACAATTAACCATCAACAATTAGCTCTAAAAATTAATTATCTTTCACTTGGATTGGCCATTGAAACATTGTTACTAATTAAACAACAATTAAACCAACTAAACCTTTGACCCGAACCTCTAAAGTGATTTACCAACAAAAACCAACAATTTAAAACCTTTAACCTTTAACAGCAACAATTAACTCAATCACAACCTTGTAAAACAAGTAATTAACTAATTAATTGATTAACAAACAATAAAGTAAATCAATAAAAACAAAAAGGTTAAGTTTTCTTGATTGTAATAGTTAATAAATCGTAGAGAAAAAAAAATCAACTTGAAACAATCAATAAATTAATCGTTTCCTTTTTCATTCCTAACCATTGATTAACTCAAAAAAAAATGTTAACCACAATTTCATCATTGTTATCATGCTATCATCATAATAATCATCATGATAATCATCATCATCTCTTCAGTAATCATCCTAATCATCATGATAATTGTAGATTATGATAATAATTAAAGCAAATTTATGCTTCACAGGGACTGAAACATTAAAAATATGATTAAAATCAATTGCATGCAATTAAACATCCAACTCTTAATAATTAGGGAGAGAGAAACAATTAAATCCAAATGCAAACTTGCAACAATTGCAATTAATTGTCACATACAACAATCAACGTTTAATGAATAGAAAGTGAATTAAATATAAATTACAATTACAATTAAGATACGAAACATAAATGCAAATGAAACATGAAAAAGAAACAAAAATTAATAAGTTGAAAGATTAAGAATCCAAAGAGATTATAAAAAAAAGAGGATTAAGAGGATTAAGATTAAGTGAGAATGAGAAATTGTTTAATGTTTCCTTATGTTGAGATTATATTATCATTCAAATCCTACTCCACACCCAAGGAAATACTGTTTGACTGGACATCAAGTGACCAGAACTCAAAGTGGACACAATTACGTGACCATGATTCAGATTCATGGTTATAACCTGTAACCTGGAGGTTACCGTTAGTTTTTACCGTTATTTTTATACACCAGAACCATTTGATTTGCCTTTCAAATATAATCAATTGATCAAAGTAATGATGATGATCATAAATAGCATTTGATTGCTTCAGTTAATTGTGTATTATTTTTTTGTCCTGGGCATTTAATTGTTGTTGTTGTTGACGATGATTCATTTTACCCTGAAAATTTCATGCTTTGCATTTGATTGTTTTTGTTTTTCATCTCATTGTCTATCCAATTGTTTAACCAAATTAAATTGTTGTTAAATCATTAATAGATTATCATTATTATTATTATTATCATCATCATCATCATCATGTATCATGATTTTAATGATTAAAATTACATGTTAAAAATATAATGTTACATATCTAATGAATAACTGAAAATCTTGATTAACTTTTCCCGGAGACTTTCATGATTATCAGAAAATTAATTATCTCACTAATCTAATTTTGATTGTTGTTATTTTCAATCTAATCAATTTTAATTGTGATTATTACCTTTGGGTTTGAATGTAACTGCAGTCCAAATTAATTTAAATCCAGTTATCTCTTGGGTTGCAACTTGCTCTTCCCATTGAGGAGCAGTAATCTCACTTTTGAATCTAAATTGTTAACAATTAATCAACCACAAAGTGAAACCAATTTAATCTCAGTGTTTTCAATACACTTTTAATTACTACTCACCTAATTAGTAAACGGTTATTAGCACTCAGTTGAACTTTATCGTCCAAACTTTTATAATACTTTAGGTCACCGCAGTATTTTTTAGGCTCATGGTGTTCATAGTCATAGTTTTCATATCCATCATAAATTGCTAGATGAGCTTCCTTACAATTAGCTAAATTGTTGAGGTTGAAAAAGTTATTTGTATTGATTGTAATTGAAATGAGGGACAATTTAAAATCTCACCTATGGACCCAAACAATTGTAATTGCATTATCCTAAGGTAAATGTGTTGATTTTGTTGTACTCTAATTAACCACATACAATCAATTGATTTAGGAAATGAATTTGGATAGTTGGGTGAACTGATTATCCCACCGAAACCTTTTTCATCACCACCACAGGATTTTTCCTCCCTCACCGGTGGACCAATTAAACCTATGGAAAGTTAAACAGAAAATGAATAGGAAACAATGATGAATATTCTGGTCCTCGATTTTTGGTCGATTCCAATCTAATAACTGGACATTAGACTTTACCTTCGTCGACGAACTCATAGAAACCAAAGAATCCTTTTACTGACCACATGATTGGATTTGAAAATAATTTCCGCCCTCAGGTGCATCGAAAGTATCGGCGAAGGCACAGTTGAGCCACAATAACGTCCCACTAATCGTTTAACATTGAAGGCAGTGATCGTTGATATATCGATATAATCAGATAAACAACTGAAAAGAAAAGATGAAAAATATTGAACGAAAATCAATTGGTCAACATGATAACCTTGACCTTCAATTTTCTGTTCTGATATTAGATTGAATTCTTGTCTCGTCATTAGTTTGAGATTAAACTTTTTTTGTTCGAAACTTTTTCTTCTGCTCTTTACTTTTTCTCTCATTATCGAACTGAATTTTGTCTGAACTTTTTTCCTATCAGTTTCCTTTTCTTGTCTCTCCTTTTTCAATTTATCTGAACACTTTGTCGATCACGATTATTATCAAAGTGTTAATGTAACAATAAGTTGGTGATCAACATCTTAATGAACTTTATCTGTGAAACTCATAAGATTTTCATGAGGAAAAAAAAACAATTTTCTAAAGGTGAAATCTTATTAATCTTATATATGGATAGAGAAAAAAGTTAACGAATAGAAAAAAAAATCTAATCAGAAATTTAATCTTCCAATTTAATAGATTGTTCAATTTCCTGAATCAGCTTTTTTTCACTCTGGATAATCAAGATACATGATATTCAAGTATAATTAACTAATCTTCATGCAAGTCAGCAAATCAACGCCATGAAAACCATCATCATCATCATTGGAATCATTTTGAATTCGAAGAAAAAAATTTATATAAACGAATCCAATTCCAAGATGAAATAATATTAATAGTACGAAATTGTGATAATATCATGTGAAAACCTCTGAACAAATTCAATTGTTATATGAAAATGGTGATGGACTGATTTCCATCCCAATCTAATCATCAAGTGATTTACTTTTTGCTGTTCAATGTCCATTAAGAGATTGCATGGTAACCATTTGAATGCTCACTGAATCTACATGAGAAACAGGGGGAAAAGTAAGAAACAATAAGGGAACAAAAATCATCTAATCTAAAGTAATAACAGAAAACCAATGTAAATGTCATTACATGTAATAATATTTTCCAATGGTGCGTGAGCTTCAATTCCTCTTTTAATGGTGAAGATAAGGAGAGAGAAAAAGTTCTGAGAGAAATTCAGAATCACTCTGACTACAAGAATCATTGAGAAAAGAAAAGGTTATCTTGTAAAATATTCTCTCTCTCTCTCTCCAGGTAGATGATGAAAAATGTATCATGTAAACGAATAGATATAAGTTCATCTCAAGAAAAGAAAACCTCATCTTCAGAACTCATGATATACACTTTGAATCCATGATAAATGTTATTTTGTCTTGATGATAGTTTCTTGTTTCCTTTTATCTGTACAAACTTTTTCATCTCTAGATGATAATGTGATAAAATAATTAGAATGTTAAAAGGAAGTAAATTCTGTTAGAATTGAATATTTATCATGAAAATCATCTTGGAACGAGAGAAAAAAAAACAAAAAGAAAATAATAGTTTTTCAACCAACCATTAAAAGTGAAGGAAATTATTGATTCTTGTGAAAACTTGATCATCACTCTAAATTTATATTTGGATCTCATGCTGAGCAGATAACAAGTCAATTGTTGTTACTTTAAGCATCCTCATCTTCATCCTCATCCTCATCATGATAATAATGATGAAGATGAGGGAGAAAAATGATAAAAGGATTTAGTTTTTTCTCCTCATCTTCCTTTTTTTATCTTTACTGAACTATTCATGTGCGAGTAAACATTTAAACTGATATTCAGGGTAACATGAATTCTTACAGGGTGATGAGAATGATAGCATATTAAAGACCCAGAATTTATCTTTATCAGAAGAATAAGAATAAGAATAAGAAGAAGAAAAAAAGTTCGAAGAAAAGAAATATTTTTCTCCATAGAAAATACATTGAATTCTCTAACAATAATATTACCGTTACTTTAACCTAATTTTCATGGAATTATTTTTTTATCAATTGTTGATGTTTATTATTGAATCAACTTATTGCAACTATTGTCATTCCAATTGAATTATCATGTTCATAATTTATATCAAAATCCAGGGAGGGAAAAAAGTTCCAATGGATTGGAAAATATCAAAAAGTTTCCAACGATTATTAGAACTTTTTTCTTGTCGAACTCTCGATTGTGACTAATACAATTGTATTCTTATGGATCTTTTTTTTTACTATCATAGTGATGATTATAAAAGGATTGAATTGATGATGATAATCATCATTAATTTTAATTTATCTCATGTTAGATCAATGATTGAACATGATTAGTCCATTTACCTTAGCTTTTTTTACACCAATGAACATTTCATTCAATATATTCACTTGATTTTGTGCTGAAATTTATCATTTTTCATGATAAATGAGATAAAAAAAGATGATGAAGAAAATTTCATTGTCCAGTTGATGATATTGATGATGATGATGATGCTTTTGTTATGTCAAAATAACAACAAAAAGCCATACAATGAATAGCTTGATGATGTGAATACATAAAATCATATGTTAACTTGATGGATATCATTTTAAACTGATTCAATATCACCAAGTTATCATCATGAAGCATTGAATATTGTTATAGATTGGAAAATATTTTCATTCATGTAAAAAGAGTGAAAAGTTTGACATTCAAAAAGATGATAAGATCTGATGATAATCTTGATGAAGATAATACTCTCAGTGGAAAAGCATATATGCAAAAAAAAATCTCATGTAGTTTCAATTCTGAAAATGAATGAAAAAAGTTCTGACTTCTAAACTAATACAATCTTGTAATGATTACAATTTACTGATAATGATGATAACTTTAAATCTCAGTAAACATTAAACACTAATGATGTTGATTCAGTTCAGAACTTTTTTATCCATGTTAATTTTTCAGTATTGATGAAATTATGATCATCATGGTGATGAAGATTTTGTTGACAAAGAGTAACCATAATGATAAACCATTAAATAGCTATGATGATGATAATGATGATTTGAAACTTTCCTTCCAGGTAAACAAAATATTCATGATACTGATATTCATTGAACTGATTATATTGAATACTTGGAGTGATGATAATATGGTTAATGTTGATGATGAATAAGATTCATGGTTGATATTGATTTTCAACTTACCCTTTAGGAAAAGGCGACTCCAGGTCAAAAGCAAGGAAAGTAATGTTTATGGCCTCGAAAGGTTCACCTCGAAAGTAATAAATACATCTCATGTTATTTGGATACTTGGAAGGCCAACTGAGTGAGGTGAAGTTACCAAATTTGGCGAATCGACTCTCGAATACAAATGTACAGTTTTCCTTTCCGCCGATTGCTTGATTGGACGAAGATGAATATTACCAATAATTAGAGAGATAAATTTGTTGATTATAACAGTGGAAGAGAAAAAGATCAACAATCAATCAAATTCGATAAAAGAAAGTGGAACAAAAATTTTCGATTTTTTTTTCTTCTCGAAACTTGTAACACTCAGAACTTTAATATACTTTTTCGTGTTCAAGTTCGGGTGAAATGTCATCACAATATCGACAATCATCATGAGAGATAATCATTATTTGTCATCCTGATTACAGGTCCCGCCTTTTTCATGTAATACACACACAATTGAATCCTAGAATTCTGATGATTTCGGTGATTTTCAGGGGATTCTAAGGATTCCAAATGAAAACTGTCTTTCTTTGCTTCCTCATCAGTTTCAAGTTATCATCTCTCATGTTATATTATTTACTTTCATGATATCTAAACATATTAAATGTTATTGTTATTATGATAATAATAAAAAACAATCAACTGATAAAATCATGATAATTCTGGTAATCGTCATGTAATCAGACAGAAATACAAATGTTCATGGTAAGTTTCTTGTTCCAATGCTAAATGATTTTTTCTGTCTTGTTATTTCAACTTTTAATTACATTTCAAGTTAATTGTAGATGAAATAAATTGCTGATTAGTAACTGTCAAGGATTAACTTTAGTCAATTTGGTCAGTTGTTCAGAATTGCTGATCGCTGAACAATTTGAAATTCATTTTAATTACCTCTCAATTGATGTTACATGTTAATTAATCTGAATGATTGTTTAATCAATACTATTCTGTTGATTGAACAATAATAATATTGAACTTAATTGACCTTTAAATTGTTTCAAGATAATCACCATTTAAAGGTCATCCTAATGATGATCATCATGATGATAATTCATCTTTCCTGATGATCATCAGGATGATGATTTCTTATTGGAATTGGATTTTTCCTCCTCAACAAAATAATCATTTTCTCAATTGAGTTATCCCAATCTTATGGGATTCGTAGGTAATGATCATCATCAAAATGGTTTACTGATTAATGGACAATCTAAACAATCAGACAATTATTAGAAATCAATTAGAAAATGAAATGATTACTTACTTGATTTGATTTTAATTGTTATCACTATTAAAATATCCCAAGTGAGAACCCAAATTGGTTTGAGAGGCATTTTCAATTTGAGAGCAACAATTAAAAGTTAATAATAAACAAATCGACAATCAAAACAATCTAATCAGATGGAAAAGATGAACAAGCAAACAATTTAATCAGTTAGATTGTCACAACTTAATCATAATCCAAGGTGTAATTGTAGTAACAATTAACTCTTAGTGAGTTGATTGCCAAGTTGAAACAAAAAGAAAGTCTGATCTGATGAAGAAGAAGAAGAGGAAAATCAATCACATTGTAGATTAACAATTAATTATAGTTTAATTACTGGATATTGAGGATAATAACGATAATGATAATGATAATGATGATAATCTTGTAATCATCATGTAAACTAAATCAAGGAGAAAGGGAAAATTATTAGGACTGATTAAGTGATGATTATCTTGGGATGTTGCTGATGGAAACTAAATGTTAGCACAAATGATTATGAAATAAGATGTAACCTGTAACTCAACTCATGGTGATGATGAGGAGGAAATGAAT